CGCGCCGCCGGCGCCCGCGCTGGGCGCGGCGAGCCAGCCGATTGCGGCGTCGGCGACGCCGCCGGCCATCGAGCCGAGCGCGCCCGCCGCCGCCAGCGCCGCGGCGCCGGCGTTGTGCAGCGCCGCCGTCGCCGAGTCGGCGCCGCTGGCGCGGTTTCTCCGGCGCACGCGGTCGCTCCCGTACCCGCCTGGCAGCCGCAGCGCAGGAAAGAGCACGCGTTAGCACCGCGCCGCCGCAAGTCATCTGCCAAGTGTCGATGCGGCCGGCCCCGCCGCGCGCTCCCCATCACCCGCTCGATCCCTGCGCGCAGCCCTCGCGCCCCTCCAGCCCCCACCCATCCCTTGATTCACGGCCGCAGCCCCCGCTCACCCGCGCCGCCGTTGGCCATGTACTCGCCGCCGCCGCCGCCCGACCGCTCCATGAGCTCGACATCCCCCGGCTCGCTGCCCGTCCGGTCGCTGCGGCGGCTGAAGGGCGTCCCCGTGTCGTCCTCTGCTGCGGGCAGGGAGCAAGCGCGCGGGCGCGGGCGCGCGAGCGCGGGGGTGCCGAGGGGGTTGAGGGACACGGCCGCAGGCACGCCGGGGGGATCAGGCGCGGAGGCCGCTGCGGCGCCCCGCCCTCCTGCCCGCTATCAAGGGGAGGCCGCGCGTGCGTGCGAGCTCGGGCAATCGTAACTGGGCCAGTGGCCAACGCCCAGAGGCTGCGGACCTGCGGGCACGCGCGCGCACATGCACATATGCAAGCGCCGCCGCCGCCGCCGCCGCGCACCTTCGCTCCCGCAGCGTGAGCCAACGACGGGCGACCCCGGGAGCTGCACGGCCGCCACAGACCCGGGCGCCTTGCGCTCCTTGGCATTGAGCGACGCGTCCCGGCCGTAGCCCGACAGAAGCCGCGCAAACAAGATTTGGGCGTCCTCCCTGCGCCGTGCGGTCATGGGGGCGGTGCTGGCCGCTGGGTGCCGGGGCGACGTGCTGCTCACATGAGTGGGCATGCGTGCGTGCGGGTGTGTGCGGTAACAAGTGCGGGTGCGCTGGCATTGGGACCCCCAGCATGCCCAGCGGACCTGCGCGCGCTCTGCAGGGCGCCGCGGCGCGAGGTCCTCACCCTATAGGCATCTGCCGGGTCGGTATGTTGATAAACTCCCGCGCAAACATTGCAGAGTCTGACAGCAGCCCATTTGCCCGCTTGATGTCGCCGACCTGCAAAATGCAGTCGTCAGGCACATGGCCGCAGCGACGACGGTTAGGCGGCAGCCTTGGCACCAGCGGACACATCACCCAGCACCAGGAGTGGAGCAGCCCTGAACCTGTCTGCCTGGACGTCATGCATACTATCAAGCTCCGTCCTGTGATGGTTTGCAGGTCCTCCCACGAGCCAAGGGTGGGCGATCCGAGGCGTCCAGTCCAATGTGAGCCCAGCGGACCACCCAACCCAGCGCTCACGTGGATGCCATACTTCACCGCCAGCCCCGCCAAGGTGTCCGTCTTCAACACCTGGAACCAACGAGCGTGATGGTTGCATCGGCGCACGCCCGCGCATGCGCAAGGGACAGCAAGCATGGCGTGTGTGCGCAGGCGGGGCGCTGCAGCCGCGTTACCGGCATCACAACGCACCTTGTGCTGGATAAATCCGTCATCCCTATGCGATGTTCCAGACGTAGACGGCTCGCTAATTTCGTCAGAAGCCGGGGCAGGAGCTCGCTGCTCTGGCCACCCACGGTCCGTGCTCAGGCCCGTCATCCCGGGCGCCACGCGCCCGTGATGTTTGTATCCCCAAGAAAGATACGACAGCCAGGGCCGCGCACAGGCTGTCTTGAAGTCTGCAAATCGACCAGGAGGTGCTCTTCTGGCAACGGTTTAATGCATATTTAGGGCATGTGTGGAGCTGACAGTGAGTTGCAATCAAGGGTCGACGGGTGTGCTGTAGATGGCAAGCGCAAGTGGGGCAACGGAGAAGGGATGCAGTAAGAGCCGGGGCAGCGTTCACAACGATTAGAAGCGATTGCAATTACACAGTGGCTGCGTGGACCTCGAGCATCACCAGGCGGCACCGGGCCCGATGCATTTGCCGCAGGTTCGACCCCAACAGCCCGACCTGCACATGCGGGAGTGCGGAGCATGACGCGCGACATGGGGCTGTGCGCGTGCGACGGCAGCTGCAAGAGACAGATGTCATATGGTGATCAAACGCATTGACCACCCTTCAGGGGCACGTTTGGGGTATGCTGGATGCTGCCCCTGCGCCCACAGTGGCCATGCAGGGTGTCACGCACCACAAGACAACACTTGTGCCTGTCAAACAGGTACAAGGGAAGTTGCTCCTACGTGAAGACGTGGACATGACTCTGCAACACCCAGGTCAGTTGCCTACATTAGGTCAAGCAAAATGGAAGGGTCAACCCGTTGCTGTTGATGTGAACTTGGCGAAACTTGTCATTGCATGATGCCAATACGCACCTGCCGGTACATTCAGTGCTGAAACGTAGCCCAGGTCAATCATGAAAAGCAGTGCAACCAGTCAAAATACAGCAAGCACATGTGTTTGAGATTGCGAGTCAAACCCAGTCAACTCAGTGTCCTCCGCCAACAGCTGCGCCAGGAATCACTCGGGCCCCCATCGTGCGCTCCCTACATGGTACCAACTATACTGTACTGGGCTGCCGACGCCTTCTGGCTCGCACCGCCAGACGGCGGGCGGCACGGCTCCCCCGCAGGCGCGTCACTTGATTATCTTCGCCGCGCGCGCCCACGATGTCGCATCCGCAATGCCCAGCTCAAACCCGTACCGCAGCCCCTCTACGCTCGGCTTAGCCACAACCCAGCTCTCCCACGTCCACCAAGTGTAGGCCACTGGGTTGTACTTGCCGGGATAGATGTCGATGCCCGGCCGGCGGCCAAAGACGATCTCGGGCGCGCCAACCTCGATGGGGCAGCTGCTCGGCAGCGGCGCCGGCACCGCCGCTAGCCGGCGCCCGAGCGCACCGCCGCCGCTGCCGCTGCCGCTGCTTGGCAGGCTGCTCGCCGCCGAGTCCGCTGCGACGGACACGTTAGGGAAGCCCGAGCTGAAGAGCTTCCCGGGGACGCCAGAGTGCACCGTGACGCAGCGTTTGGCGTTGCGTGGGCAGGGCGTCCGCAGCCTGTGCCGAGCAGTGATTGCAAGCCAAGTGGGCCGTGAATTGGACCAAGCAAACACTGCACGCAGCATGCCAGAGCACGACCGCGCTGCGAGCTGCATGGGAGTCACTTATGTTGGCCGCTTGCCGCCTGCCGGGCGTGGAAGCGCCGTTCTGGACGCCTTCAGAACTCCCGCAAACAATGCAACCCCCCTATTCCCCCCTCACCGCCACCCCCAATAGGGCGGGGGGTCACACTCACGTGTAGCCCCCGGCCATGGCGGGTCTCCCTCGGAAAACGGCATAGGGGGCGTTTGCCGAGGTGCACGGGAGGTACCCCGACGCCGCCACCGCATCGATGAGGTCGGCGTCACTCGTGAAATTTGACTCCCGGAAGTTGCCTTTCCACATCATCCGCGGCTGCCCGTAGCGCCCGAGCCTCGCGTCCCCCAGCGGCTTGGTGAAGCCGAGGGTCAGCAGCCCGCTGCACGCCTTGGCGGCGCCCGCGGGCAGGGACGCGTTGAGGCGCGCGCGCATGACCGCATCGAGCGTGTGCAGGCAGGGCGGCGTCGTGCCGGTGTCGAGGCAGTGCTGCGCGTCCAACAGCGCGCCGGCGACGGCCGCAAAGGGGTCGCCGCCGGCGCAGCCGAGCGCGGCGGCTTGCGCGCCAGTGGATACGCCGTAGATGGGGGTAACTCCAGGCTTGAACGCCCCAGAGGCGATCAGGCCTTGCAAAACGCCAAGGTACCTATGGTGTGTGCGGGGCAACTTGCGTAATGAGATAACAAACTGCGCATCAGTACATTCTGTAAGCTGAAGAGGCCTGGCGGCAGGCAAGTGGCAAATCCGGCGCCTGCGCATGCAGTGCTGCCGGCGTGTCGCGCATCGCGGCGCACAGTGCGCATTGAAGTTGACGCTTCGCACCAGGTGGTGAGCCATCCGCCTCCCCCAAACGCAAATCCTAATGCTGCTTTCGCCATTGCGGACACAAGGGCGTTCTAGGAGCGCGGGTCACCAGGCTCGCGGCCCGCCGGTGACACCCTCCGATGAACTAACAGGACCCGTGTGTGGACTGCATGTAGGAGGAATCTGCGATTCGTGGGGAGTTTACCACATGGGTATGGTGAACATGCATAACAGCATGCTCCCTCATGGTGAAGGCAAGGAAGGAATGTGGAAGCTGTTGCTTGACCACCGCTCTTGTCGGTGCCCCCCAAAGCCCAAACCCAAGGGCAATCTCTCTGGCAGGCCGCATGGAGCCAGCTGTATGTTGATGTTGTTTGATGCGCAGCACTCGCATGCGCATTACATGTGTCGCAGTGCATCCAGCTGCGCGCTCGATTCAACGGCGCTCTGACAGCAGGATGCCCTCGAGTGCCGTGTGAGCTTGTTGCACAATTTCCCCCTCTCCCCCCCCCCCGGCCCATTCGCCATGTCTAAACACCGGCCAGGTGCCAACCCACGCCCTTGCTGCCGATGGTTGCGGACGTTGTTGTGCCACCAGCCTGAGACAGGCTATAACGATGGGGGTAGGTGCCGCCCCCAATCACGCGCTGCCCTTGCTTCGTGCAGAAAAATAGCGCACACACAAAGAAGTTGTGAGCGGTGCTTACATACGTACAGCGGCCGAGCAGGCTGGCAGCAGACGAGCTGCACCGCGCCTACCCCGGCGGGTGCTACTGCTGAGTGGGGGCGCTGCCATAGAGATAACGCTTCATGAAGCCGGGCAGGCGCCCCACGTCGTAGCCCATGGCCCTGCGGCGCAGCGGCGGCGACGGCACAAAACATCAAAGGCAGTAGGAAATGTCCGACCGAGCGACGCACGTCACCGCCTGCGTGCAGCTTACAGCTCTTGCCATGCAAGACAAAGCTTCCCATCGACCAAGAAGCTGCCATCCCTGGCTCTAGTACCCCTGCCCCTTGTGAAAATGCACAACACACCTACACACAAAGCAATTCGCCGCCAGTCACGCATGCACATACGTGGTCCGCGCAGCCCCCAACACAAGCCATCCGACGAGCGCAAAGCGCCCACCTCAGCGCGATGTGCCCGATGACGTGCATCAGGAAGTTGTAGCAGACCGCGTTGACCAGCAGCAGCGCGAAGATCATGCACACGATGGCCATGTCAGACGGCGCGCCGCTCGCCCCGATGCTGGCTGACAGGCGGTCCTGGGG